AATTTTTAAACATGTAGGCAAATCAAAATGCACTTGTCTGTATAAAATATTAAATACGGTGTTCTAATTTGTTGGATTTTTCCTTGAAAAGAACAAAATTGAAACACTGGATAAATTAATAACTTGTGAGTTGGGAGATGAGACCAGGGTTAATCTGAAGGTCCACTGTATGGTTAGGAAGGAAGATTAAGATATTGACTAATTTTAGATATTTTCAAATTAAAAGTGGTAAAAGTTTTAAGAGTAAAAGCATAGGCATAGAATATAGCATCCCAAGTGGTAGAGGGAGAAATGGAATGAGACAAACAAACAAAACTTCAGTCAACCAAAAAGAGCTGACAGAGAAATGAAACAGAAAAATCAAGACAAATAGAAAGCACGAAGCAGGGTAGCAGAAAAAAATCCAATCACATTAACAATGAAACAATAACAGAAAAAACAGACTTTAAAGCAGAAAGGTGGTCACTACAGAATAGAAGGTTTAACTCATTAAGATGATATAACAATTCTACTTCTTTGCATGTCATAAAATTGCTCAAAATACATAAAACAATAATTGACAAAATTTCTTGAACCAAGATCATAGTGGGGAATTTGAACACTGCTCCCTCACTTGATAGGACAAATAGAAAAAAATTAGTAAATATGCAGAACAATTGAACAAAATGTTAACAAAGTTAATTTTAAAAACATACATAGAATTCTATGTCCCAAAATTAGAGAAAACACATTCTTTTCAAGTACATGTAGTCCATATACAAAAACTGACCACTTATTTGGACAATAAACTGAGTCTCAATAAATATCAAAGATTCAGCATAATATAAACTACATTTTCTGACCAAAATCAAATTAATTTGGAAAAGAATAACAAAAAGATAATTTTTAAAAAATCTTTATTCATTGAGGAATTTTAAAAATGATTCTAAATTCATAGATTAGAGAAGAAATCATTGTGGAAACTAAAACATAAATACTTAGAACTGAATGATAAGGAAAATGTTACAAATCAAAACATGAGACTTGCAGTGAAAGCAGAATTTAGAAGACAATTTAAATGCTAATACAATAAAAAAAGAGAAAAGTTACAAATGAACCAAATGTCCTTGCTTAAGCAGTGAGGAAAGAACAGCAGAATAAAAGCAAAGAAGAAAATAGATAAAATAAGAGCATAAATTTTTGAAATAGAATAAAATTATATAACAAAGTGTTAGTTCACTGGGAAAAATTATGTAGTAGACGACATCCGGGAACACAAATCAAGAAAAAGCAAAGACAGGAAATAAGGAAATAAGGCATAAGGAAAAATAGGAATAAAAATGAAACAGAACTACAGATACACTAGTGATAAAAAAGGTAAGAAAATATTAGTGATAAAAAAGGTAAGAAACAACTTTGTTCCAATAAATTTAAAAGCTTAGATGAAATAAATTTTTAGATAAATATAACTTATTAAATATGACTTAAGAAGAAATAGAAAGTGTGAACAGCTCTTATAACCACTAAAGAAATTGAAATTGTAATTAAGTCATTCAATTAAAAAAAAATTAGGCTCAGATTGTATTTAAGAATAATTCTATAAAACTTGCAAGGAACTGATCATTCCAATTTTATAAAACTCTTACAGAGAACAGGAAAAAGAGGAATAGTCCCTAATTCATTCTATATGGCCAATATAATCTTGGCATTAATTTTAAACAAAAGAAATGTAAGAATAAAAGTGACAGGCCAATCTCACTCATGAACTCAGAATCAAAAATCTAAACAAAATATAAACTGAATTGAACAGAATATTAAAAAGTTAATACATTTGACTAAGCTGAGTATCCCAGAAATGGAATGGCAAATTATCATTAGAAAAGTTAACATAGTAAATGTGGGAAAAGACCTCAACATTTTCCTCTCATTACATAGAGGAAAAGCATTCAACCAGCATTTATTGAGGACTTTTTCTATAATAGGTGCACATTTTTCTTTATTTTTAAAGTCTAAACCTGAAAATATTTGATAACTTTATAAAATCTAGAAATAGCATGTACATTTACTACAGCTATGGAAATAGCAGACATATGACCAAAAGACGGAAAAGAATACACAAAAACAAAAATAGTGCTAAGGTGACAGGATATCCCTTTAATATTGTTATTGTATTATTTATCCCATAAAGTGTATTTAAAATATTAAACTTCCAACCTTGTTTTATTTTTAAATTTATTTTAATGGTCAATTCTTGATGATGAGTCTGTTTCTTAGTTCTTATTATACCTTCATGTATGGTTGCTTTTCATAAACACTAATGGATTAAGTGTAGATCATATTTTACATACATTTATTTATATGTTTATCAATTTAAAGAAGAGAAAATAAGTGAATCTGCCTGTTTATAACTTCTGACATAATTTTCATATTCATATTTCAGATTTTCATTTCATATTTCATTTTATTCTTTAATTATGCTAAGTTGTTAGAAATGGTGGAATTTTTCCATTTTATAGATGAATAAACTCTGATTCAGAGAGTGAAATGACTTGGTAAAAGTTACAGCAGTAAATAATAACCCAAATTTATACAATATTCAACAAGTATAATGCATCTCATGTGCTGGGCCCTGTGTTAGAGTATAAGATGATGATACAGACCTTTTAATTCAATTAGTTTTCAAATCACCAATCTACCTCCCTAAAAAAATTTTGTGCGGCAAATTTAAGTTAGAAAAGATCCAGATCCTTGTTGACTTTACCACCGAAGAGCCGTACAATGTTGGACAAATCACTACCCTAAGTCTCAGTTCCTTGATTAATAAAATTTGACGCTCACAGCACATGGCCCTGTCTTACAGATATATTAAGAGGTTCTGCTAAGATGATTTAATTATAGAATTTTGTAAACTATATGACACCATACAAATGCAAAGCCTTATTTATTCACTAAATGCCAAATCTTTCACATCTTCCACTAGCATCAGAACCTTAATAAACAGCCATCACAGACACAACAGCATTTAGTTTTGAAATATTCTAACATACTCAGTAAATATACAACAAGCCCAAGAGTAGTTCTAAGAGAGCATTGAGATATTTGTCCTCAAATATTCTAACAGGAAACAACAGACGTGCAGTCATTTTATCTGCTGGCTCATGAGAAGCTTCAATTTTTTATTCAATTTCCCATTCATTCCTCTCACTTTTTCTTCCTAGACATAGATTCCTAGAGCAGTAAGATTATTACTATAGTCAACAGCATCTTTTAAGCCTTTAATTTTGTTTAAAACAAGATAAAGAATATAGATTAAGGTTCTAACCCTGGCTTCATTTATTCAAACATTTGGAGTACCTACCACATGCCAGGCGCTGCCCTAGGCTCTGGGGGAAAAAAACAAGATACAGCTTCTGCTGTCATGTTGCTTATTTCCTGCATGCCCTTGAGCATTGTACCTAATCTCTTTTAGCCTATATCCTGATTTATAAGAACAGTCTTGGTGTGAGGATTAAATAAGATTATCTATGTACTGAACATAGCATGGAGCCTAAAATAAGATATGGTAAGTATAAAAATGTATTTTAAAATTTTCTTTACCAAGATCAATTTTTATCCTTTTGTCTTAGAGTGTGCCATGTAGCTGCAGAAATAGGGGAATAAGCTTACAAACTGTCATTCTCTAAAACTAAAGCTTAGGGTTATGGGCCAATATTAGGACTTGGCCAGGTAGAACTCTTCATTGGGTTATGTTTCCTGAAAAAAGACTTTCATGTAACGGACAGAAGGAATTGCCTTTCTTCTTGCATTAATGGCAAATGTTGTTGAGCTAGAAAAAGGAATCGGACCACAGGAAACAAGAACCTGTTAGTGTTAACCCAGGACATTCTAGAAAAATGGACTTGCTAGCGGAACAGTAGCTTATTCCAAGTTCTACTATAGAATAAAAAATTGTACAAGATTATACAACTTCTTTTGCTCTAATTTCATTTCTGGAATTAGAGATGAACTTTCTGAATGTCAATGTTTTCCAAAGATTTTTGCTACCAACTAACTGGGATACGGACAAAAATATCTTGATGAAGGGAAAGTTATAACCCACTAACAAAAATGAATCAATTTTCTTAATAAATTTTTCTTAAGTTTGGTGACACTGTGCCAGTTGTGGAGCACCTGGGTAAAGTCACAAAATTAGATTCCTATACACACTAAACAAATATTCTAAGCTGTCCCCATAGGGCAGCCACCAAGGGGAAATTAGAGAATTTAACTATTCTAGTCTAAACACTTCATTTAACATATGAGGCAACTACAACATCAAGGTTGTGATTTATTAACCTAGCTAATGGCAGAAGCAGCACTGAAATCTGTGTCTTCTAATTCAGAAGTTTTGATTCTTATATCATCAAATACTGAATTAATATCCAAAGGCATATATTTGTATTTACTATACTTTGAACAATTTTTTTTCTTGTCCTTAAGTCAATGCTTTAAAGTACTGTTTGGTATTTCCATCTCAGAGCAGTTAAGCTGAAGAAATGAGAAACAAACTTTCTGAACAACACAATTTTAATACATGTTGAGGCTGGTTAATTGGTTAGGACATTAGGTTAACCAGGCCAAAGTCTAGGGTTTAAACTCCAAATAAGCCAGTTAGCTTTTCAAATCAACATTTCTGACAACTCATTGTTGTAGTTAAAGAAAACTCTTCATTACCTGGGGGGAAAAGAACCCTACAAAAGTAAACCATACTGATAGAAAAAAGTCTTGTCTGTCACTTTAAAGCTGCTTTTTCTTTAAAAAGTACGTTATCTTTTTGGCATTCTTAGAAACGATCTTCTAAAAAAGCAAACTATTGTTGATTCCATGGCTTTAAGTAGGATAACTTCCAATGTCACCTCCTCTATCCAGAAAATCCATGGCACTACAAGCCAGTCACTTTACGTATTTATAATTGTAAATATTACACCTCTTGTAAATTAGCACCTAAAATAATTTTTGGACACATGAAAGTATAGGAGATGTGGTGAGAACACCGGAATTTTAATTTTGTAAACCGTATATTCGAATAATCAATAACAGAACGTGGCCCATAGGGAACTGGGGCCTGGGCGGAGACCTAAAACTCGTCGTTTCCCAAATGCAATGTCATGTACCACTCCCAAGAGCTAACAACAGGTCTGTCCACACGCTGAGACCACGGACTTGGAAACCTCCATCCTGGGCCTTCCAGGACTCCAGCGCAGTTAGGACTTCATCCTTCAGAGGAGGAGGGGCCCGACAGAGGCTTTGAAACCTGCCGTACAACTCCTCCCAGGGCACGCCTTGGGGCTCTGCTCCAACCCAGACGCCCTGCTGCAGGTCGTAGCGCAGCTGGCGCCCCCAGTCCGTGAGGAGGCCCAGGTAGCCCCGGGAGAGCTCCGGGTGGCGGCCTGCCACGGAAGCTAACACGCCGGCGGGGAGGCGGCGGCAGAAGGCGGCCATGATGTCCGACCTGCCCAGAAGCCAGCGGACCAGCTCGGGACGCCCCTCTCCGGCCGTGCTGGGGGTGCCGGGCTCCAGCTCCTCTCCCCGGGGCCGGGGGCTCGACGGCGGCAGCAGCAGCGCGGCCGCCACCACCTTCAGGAAGTTGTCGTGGGGCACGCGCTCCCACAGGCTGCTGAGCAGCCCGCCGGGGCCCGCGGCCGCGGCCCGGCCTTCCTCCCGCAGGCGCGCCAGCAGCAGCTCCGCCTGCGTCTTCATCAGGGCGTCCTCCTGCAGGACCGGGCTCTCCCTGGAGCCGCAGAGGCGCAGCATGTGGACGGCCGACCGGCGGCGGGCCAGGCGGGCCAGGCGGCCTTGCAGCGTGTCCTCGTCGGCGCCCGGGACGCCGGGGCCGGGAAAGAGCTGCTGCAGCAGGGAGTGGCAGGCGGCCTCCCCGAGGGCCCGGTTCTGCAGCAGGCGCAGGGACAGCAGGACGTCGCAGCGCCCCAAGGCCTGGAAGTTCGTCAGCCCCGGGGCCGCCGCCGGCCCAGAGCCGCCCTCCTGCCTCCACTGCTTCTGCAGCCGCCGCTCCAGAGCCATGCGAATGCGGGCATGGCGGCCAAAGCGCCTGTGGACGTGGCGCAGGTAGCGAGCCCACTGCAGGGCCCTGCGCACGGTCGCGGGGTCCCAGGTGCTGACGTGCGGCGTGCGGGAGACGGCCAGCACCTCCGAGAAGCGCTCCAGGTGCTGCAGGAGCGACTCCATAGGGCGCGCCACGGCTTACTTCCGCCTTCACCTGGGAGACGGCGACTCTCTGCGTGCCGATTGGAGCGTCCGTGAAATGGTACGCCTCTCTGCAATGCTATTGGTCAAAGTCCCTGTCAATCCGACAGCGTCTTTAATCCGGGTATCCCGACTCTGGGAAATTTAAAGTGGGGAAGCGGCGTGACAGTTTCACTTTCGCCGCCGATATTGAAGAAGCTCTTGGGGGAAGGGAACGTAAGTGTCGGGTATCCTAGCCCGAGTTCCCGGAGCCACCTGCGCGATGCTAATAGTCGCGAAAGTCTCCGTGCTTCCTTTCGTTTTGGAAATAAGCCCTAATAGAAGTTGCCTGAGCTTTGCCTGTGACAGTCTGTGTGGAGGTTTATCAAAATTGGATAACGCCAGAGACAAGCTGTCACCTATAAGACAGGCTGTTACATAGTAAATGGAATTTTTAGTTCGGTTCAGTGTAGTAAAAATGCACTGACCTCCAATTAATTAATGCCATGCGCTATGTTAAACTCGGGGCGTTTCACAATGTTCTTTCATTATTAGAACCGAAGCCCAAATAAATTGAATCAAACAAACAAAAACCTTCAAGATTAGTACTTCATTAAAAATTTTAAAGGAACTTAAAATTTTATTTCAAAATTGCACAATTTTTTGTTTTCGTAGTTTCCACGGCAAAATAGCTTAGTTCACTCTTATTTCACTCAAATAATTGAGCGAAATGGCATTTAAGAACATACAGCAGAAACACACGTTTGGCTGAAGATTGCAGGAAGAGAGAGGAGAGAGGAAAAGGGACCCATTTCTGGAATATCATCTGGATTATTCACTCATGTATGCAGTCAACAAATATTTATTTGCTCACGCCTAGGAGTCACATTGTTCAAAAACCGACAATTTCTAACTTACTTAAGTTGATGACATAATAACTCATTTGAGCTGAATTTCTTTCCAATCATAAAGACACTAACTAGTCAAAACTATTTTCAGTAGGTAGAATTGGTGTTTTGCTTTAACTAAAAGGTGAAGAGAAACAAATTTAAGAGGAGGAGAGTCATTTTTCATTTATTAAAATGAGCATTCCCACACCTTTTATAAAATGAATACATAAAGCAGTGGTGCTTATGCTGTTAATTCAGTCTTATTTGATATTTATCAGTTAGCCCAACTCCCATTTGGTCCTGAAGTAGTTACTTGATTTTATTCTAAGGGTACTGTGTATCCTAAAATCTTTGTCTTGGCTACTAGAAACTTTGAGCCAAATGTGCAGCCTACCTTTAGCAAATGTACAGCCTTCACTCAATTCATTTATTTATTCTTATTTGAGCATTTATTATGTCACATAGTGTAAGATTAGTGGTAAATAAAATAAATGTAGTCCTTGTCCTAGCGGAGGAGTTCGTTTCCTAACATGTAAGAGAGACATTAAACAAATAACCTCAAATGTGATAGGATATAATGGAGGTAGGTCAGCAAGACTTAAAGGTGATAGGAAAAGCCTCTTTAAGAAACTAACTTTTCGCCTGAAATCTCAAAGATGAGTGTTGAGACAAGTTTTCGAGGTCGAGGGAACAGTTCATTTGCATGTACCTGAGTTGAGAAAGCCCCGTCCATTCAAGGAGATGAGAGAGGACCACTAAAGGGGCCTTCAGTCCAGGATGGGATGAGACCATAGGGAAGAACTGTGCAGATGAACTTCTTCAACTTCATATCTTTCCACTTATCTATTTAAAATTTTATTCTATTTTAAATCCTTACTTGAGCATTATAATGTATAAATTTATACATATTTCACATTAGCCTATTTTCGTTAAATAGACACAATATCTATGAAGTTTTCCCCTTTAGGAGAAAGAAAAGCCTAGAGTTGAGAGCTTCTCAATGTTCCATTTAATTCAACAAAATGTAATGAGTATTTATTAAGCTTCTTTCTGTATGTAAAGATTAGGGATTGAAAGATGGTTATGGCAAGGTCCTTCACTTCAAGAAACCTACATTCTTGAAGCAGAGATGAGGAGGGGCACAAGAACACTTAACTGTAATGCAAATCAGATTTTATGTGTTTTAAAAATTGTAAGAATGATTCTCTGAGAGACCGGTTGTATACTGACAGGAGAGTTCTGGGAAGGCTTTACAAAGGACTGATACTTCATGTAGGCCTCCAACTGTTGAGCAATCATGGAATAAAGGACAATTCAAGTGCGAGAATAACATGAGGTAAAACATATAAAGACATGAACGTGTATAGTGTGTGCTACGAACACTAGGACCCATCTCCCACTTCTTGGTTAGGATCCTTAAGTGTCTGGGGTGTGGTAAATTAGGACAAAGAACGGAAGGCCAAAGATCAGGAGATTTTGTGCCTGATTATGCCATACCGTTATTATGACTGTCTTTTAATATCCATTCTACCATCACTCCCACCCTCTTTGCATAATAATGATGCACTTTGGGATATCAACTACAGCTCATCTCAAGGGGTAAAGCCTGATAATTTTGAGCCAGTCATTTTAATCCACCCCTCTCTTAATTCAGTAATTAATTTAGGAACCCAGTCGTAAGCCTATTGATGTATAGCATTTCCTAATGATAGAAATGTGTTCAGAAATGGCTAGGTGAGTCAATTCCAATCCATTAGGCCTAGATGATTCAGAGAATACTTTTCTTATTCCTCGCAGTCCATAGAGTATGAATATTGACCAATAGGAAGAGATAGTCGTAATAGACTGTGTGAGTGTGTACCAGCTGAATAGCAGGCACACTTAAGAGCTAGTTTCTCTCTTCCTCTTGATGTTGTTATACATTTATATGAAGCCCAAAGCTACCACAGCCATCTCCTTCTCAGAGCCAAGAGAATCTCAGAATCACAAAGAATACTTTGGATGAAGACAACTCTCAAAGTAACCTTGTGTAGGATTATAACCCTATATATTACCAATTGTTTTTTGTGTTGGTGTTTTTTTTTTTTTTACCAGTTTCAGTTTTATTTTCTTTTGCTTTCAGCTAAATGCACCCATATAATACAAGCCCTTTAGAACACCGGCACATAGAAACAATAAACATTGGCTATTGTTGTTGTTAATATTATATAAGCCTCCAAAGTATACATCATCCCATGTCTTCTCCAAATTCCACTCCTCCCAGATATAAAAGCGCAACCCCCAATATCGTTGTGGGCAGTGGTGGAGAAAATTTCATGGAAGAAAGATGTGGCTTGCTGCTGTGCTGACTACTCTTGGTCCTGAGAGGTTTCTACTACAATCTTGCTCAATGGACTATGACTAGAAAAATTGAATTGATGCCATTCTCTAGGTTAGCTCTAAATTTTTGGTTATTTTAAGATATGCAATAAGTCGGAAATTATAGGACACTATGCAATTGAGAGACCAATGAAAACAAAGTATTGTGATGTCCCTTTATTCTTCGCTGAACAATACCATATTCGCATATTACCACATTAATTTCAGCCCACTGGGTGTTGAAATAATATTTTTCTGTATGAACAAGCAGACCTGGACTCCACGTCTTCAGGCAGGGCAGACATAGAGGGTTTTCCTTCATCCAGGAATGTGGTTCTCGGAAGGAAAGTGTATAGACCTTTTTACAGTCGTTCTGAGGGCAAATATGGGCAGTGATTGCACCTGATCCTGACTCCATTACTTCATCCAAGACAGGGGTCAGAGTAGGTCTCTCTCTGTTCTTTAGTAGCAACAATAAATAGCAAGCTGGCACAACTTTTGAAGAGAGGTTTCTCATAAAAACTTTGCAGACATATTTGCCGTTTTTTTGCAACAATGCAATCTATCTTTCTGAGAAAGGGGAACATAGATCTTAGTGGGATTAACTTCGGTAAAATCAAAATTTCTTCATTTCACTTGTTTCCCTGACAAAGGGGAAAATTCATGAAGTGAATTATAATGGATAGAGGACTTCAGGCATGTATAGGGAATCACACAATTAGGTTTCCAGGAAGAAATGGCCTATAATCCCTGATCAGACTGTAGAACTCCATACCAAATCTCAACAATATTAAATTTATGTAGCAGATCGGGAAAAAACACACAATGTTTACCTTTCCTACCTTCAGAATTGTTTTCCAAAAGATAACTGACTGTAACTTAGCAAATCTTTCTGTGGTTCCTGAGCATCCCAATCAGTGTACAGCAGAAAGGGTTACAACTGTGTGCCTGAGACACTGATCTCCTGTGGCCCTGGGGCATATGAGTGAGGTCCTGGAGGCTGGAGTCGTTACTGAGGTGAAGAGAGGTCTGATAACCCATCCTTCGGTCCTTGACACATGCTCTACCACCTGGACATCTATTCGGTGGCTGGAGTACACGTTGCAACCCCTCATGCACAAGGGACCCGGCAAGTTAGTGGAAAGGTTCCAGATGTCCAAGAACAGGGCATAGCCCTTGTGAATTCAGAGGAGGGAGATGGAGGAGAGATTAAAGGCTGAGATCTCCTTGTTTGCACAGATCTAGATGAAGACTCCAAATCTCTGTTTTCACAAATTTGAGATACTCCTTTCCGTTTGCAGTGTGTGTGACTTTATGTGGCCTCAAACTCGGCAGCAGGAAGACTGCTCTAGCAATATGTGTATATTCTGAAAATCAGAGCTTCATGAAAACTTTGAAATACTTGATAATTAAAAATTTTCTTTGGATTCAAAATTCATTTGCATCATCATAATTAGGTTTAATGTTATGTTGCCTTTATAAGAAAAGAAGAGTTTTTCTTTAAATATAATCTCATTTCTTGTAAATTTTGAATGGCTGTAAAAATGACTTTACCTGTTTTTTCAACAACATTTCTAGTCAATGCTAACTCTCAAGAATATGAAGAGAACTTAAAGTCTTGATCAGGAATCGTGACTGACCATTCAAATGTGAAAAATTATATTAAAAAAATCATAGAAGCAAGATTTTCTCTTTTAAAAATTTCAGAGTTTTAAATGTTGAGAAGTAGTGTCATATAAATTTAATATGTAGAATCATCTGCATTTATACTAT